AATATATATATTTTGATTATATTATAATACTATAAATATATTTTATTTTTAAATTAAAATAAATTATTCAGAGATACAAAATGTAATAAGAGTAAGCACACATTTGTTTCAAAATTCCCATAATTATATTACAGACCTTGTAATATAATGAAAGAAGAAGTCTGAGAATAAAAAAAAAAAACTGAAAACATTGAAAAAACAATGAAAGAAATTTGAGAATATTTGAAAAAAAAATACTATTGAAAAGATAACCAACCAGATGTATGATTAAAAAAAATCCATTATAATGTATAATTTTTTAAATTATTTCTTTTATTTAAAACAATAAATAAAAAAGAGTAAGCACATACATAAATAAAACTTATAATTTTTTAGATATAAATAACTTTATTTTAATTATAAAAGATTGATTTTATTTTTATATTTTTGAATTACAGATTCAGAAAAAGGTCTCTTCCCTTCTGTATTTAACTTAGCGACAAGTGCCAAAATTACTACAAATGCAACCTGTGGAGAAACAGGACCCGAAAACTATTGCAAACTTGTGGAGCATGTTTTTATGCGGTAAATTTTCTAATCACTAACATAAAAATATAATATTTAAACCTAATTGTTATCAATTATATTTCTGATAACCACAGAAGACTCTGCATATTATATTATAAATTAAATATCACTTGCAATATTAACGTAATAAAATTTTTCTTAATAAAAACAGAAACAAAAATATAAAAAATGTACTTTTGCATAACTAAATAGGCTTCCTCGTATTATATATATATAACATAAAATACAGTTCAATAGGAGTGCGGCTCTCATATTTCTGATAGGCAATGTATGACTCTTGTGACATGGTTTGGCCAGCTGTGATATATAACATTATAAAGTATATACATATTACATATATTACAATATTATAAATAAAATAACCTAATATTCCTTTAATGGTTGAATATTTGAATTAATGTTTAAAATAATTGAAAATTTTGCATTTGTAAACAAGATTTATTAATTTTCAAACATAAATATAGCAAACTAATTTATTGTACAATTGATTTTTGAGATTTATTATATCAGTTTATATATTAATATACTACTACTATATTTATATTCATAAGCTCAGAATAATCTCTATACATTATAGTTAGAAATTATGTATATGCTGTCTCCATTCCCCATATAAATCTTAATTTTCTTCAATGTTGTTCTTGATATTATTCATAGTAACAATTGCTTATTAATATCATTTTTGGTATAAGAGTTATAAAGCAGAATTTGAAAAATTTTCTCTTTTATGATGATTTAAAGTAAATTACCACATTATGTTAAGTCTAATTTAAAGAACACCATATCATATCTGATCCATATCCATCCATTGTTCACTGAATTTGTTATCAAGATGATTTTCTAACTGGAAAACCAAGGCAAAATCATGCACAGGGGACTTTCTGGCTATTCCATATTTTGCATGAAATGTAATACATAATCATTAACATACAAAGTTCAGAAAATTATTTATCGTGTTTAGTAATTATTGTTTAGTAGACATACCATGTTTATATGTTATCATTTTTCTAAACACTACATATATATTTTTTATATTAAAAAAAATTTAATTATTGTAATAAGAAGAGAGTATTAAATAAAACAATCTGTAACTATTTCTCTTTAAAAATAAGAAAATTTCATTTAGTATTTAAGTTATTTTTCATGTATCCATCTTTATAATCTAATACTTATTTATAAAAGCGTTTTAGATTTTAATTCCAAAACAGTTTAAATTTGACAAAAATCACAACTTTAAAAATTTATGAGAAATAGTTTCAATTTACATTCATTTAATTAATTTTTGAAATTTACTTATTATATGGTCTATAAAAATAAGTAATGAAAATAAACAAAGCTAAACAAGTCACTGTTTATATATTCACTAATTTAAAGATTTTTGTATGGAATGTTAATAGTTTTGCTCTAGGAATAGCATATTTTGTTAGTAAACCAAAACCTAAGACTGAAGTCTGAAAACATTCTTAAATATTAATTTTTCAGTATAGTTTGTAAATAGTAACTTGATTATAGTATTTTATTTATTTTTTGTAAAGATAAATAGATTGTATGAAGAATAAAAATAATAAATAACTGCTAAAATTCTCATTACCAAACAGATAATTTAATCAGAAATGTTTTTGATCATAACTTTGTCATTACAGATTCCATTCATTCTGTAAGCTGAAGATGACCAAAGACTTGGTCAAAAACGTTTTTCATTAAACAATTTGTTTAATAACCAGAATTTTAGCAGTTGTTTATCATTATTATTATAATAGTGCAAAGTTTTTTTTTTTGGATTTAGGACTGTATGAAGAATAATTTTAAGTAATAATAATAAAGATTTTACTTTAATTATTAAAATAATCTTTGAAAATTTACACTCAAATTAAAGCAAAATAAAATATAAACAATGTATCATCTTGTAATTTTTTAAAATTTAATAAATAAATCTAAGAATTACTTTAAATAAGAAATAATTTAAAGTAGTCATATAAAGCAATTATTGGTTGATTTTAATATAACATTCCATTTTATTTTAATGAATAATTTATAGAATTGTTCATTAAAATAAATATAAATTGAAGATTTAAACTACAGTATTTTCATTGACAATAAACAACTCAATACCTCCTGTATTTTTTCCAGCAAAAAACTAATGGAACAGACATTTTTGGCCTCTTTTAGCAACCTGCCTCAGGTTTTAAAAATTATTTGAAATTGTCTCCTAAAAGCGGCCAAACACATTTGTTCTGTTAGTTTTTTGCTGGAAAAAGAATGAAAAGTGTTGAGTTGTTTATTGTTAATGTGTTCCAGTTTCAGGAAAATATTTCATTTTCATCGATTCTTCAAAAGTACAATTCATATGTTTGTATATTTGAGGAACTTTTATGACAGAGATATTTTAAAATGTAGGCTACACTCACTACAATGCCATGATTATATTAAGATAGTTCACTAGTGTACTCAGAAATTACTATTACTATTTATTTATAAATCAACCAATTTGGGAAATGGTCATGCATAAGAGGTTAGTTATTACAATATACAGTGATACCTCGGTTTTCGTCGATAATCTGTCCAAAACAATCAACAAAATCCGAAACCAATGAAAACCAAGGCAATTATTTCCATATGAATCAATGTAAATCCAATTAATTCATTCTAGATATTCCAAAATACATACCAAAAACATATTTTATAGAGAATAAATATTGTGTTTAATACTAAAAACAATAAGAAATTAATATAAAATGAATGTAAAAGATTAATGTAAAGAATAAATGAATGTTTAGCATAGCATTTAACATAGCATTTAACATGGCATTCGAAGGGCTGCTGGCTCTGGAAACTTTCTTTGGTTCCATGGTGGAAGTAAAAGGAAAGGAAAGCAATGGAATTATTGTGCTAGACACATGGGGTTATGCTCACACAATGAGAAACAATGCCACACTGAGCATGAAAACGCTTGGGTTTGCACCCTATGTTTTTGCAAAATTAGCAGGAGGTCATATAGGCATACCAACAAAATCTGGGGCATGCTGACAAAAAATGAAACAAATTTTCTGCAAAAAAAATCAGCAAAAACTGAAACTGACAATAACTGAAGTCAATGAAAATAGAGGTATTACTGTATTATCCAGTGGTGTCATTCCTGAATTGCTTTTAATTCTGGACATGTTGTCAATCTCGGATATATATATAACCTACTATATAAATAAATATTAAGAAAAATGATATAGGTGAAATAACAAATGTTTTATACTCTATCCCATGTACCTGCAATAATTCTCAAATTTACATAGAAGAGAGAAAAAGAAAAATGAAAGTTAGGTTAAAAGAACGTATTACCGATTTGAAATACAATAGAATTAATTCTGTTTTTTATGAACATTGTACACTCTATAACTGAAATATAGATAAAAATAATATAAAAATTCTACATCATGAACATAATACTCATAGTAGAAAATTTAAAGAAAGTGTTGAAATTATAAGATCTAATAATAAGTTTATTATTAGGTCTTATAATTAAACTTAATAAAAATTTAAGTATTAAAATAAATGACAATTGTAAATTATTGTAAAATTGAATAAATAAATATGCAAATTACAGATGTGTAAATGCATATATGCAAATTATTTAATGTATAAGTGCAGTTTGCAAGATGATTCACAGAGTGCTAAACTTGTGTTAAGTAGTATATGGCTGTGGTTTGATGGTATATGCAGTATTATTGGTACTGTGTCCAATGTATAAGATGAAACTCTGTGAGTAATTCTTTAAATAAAAATTACATTGTGGTATGTATGATATATTTATTAAAAAATTCAGTGTCATATATAGTTTTAGGAAATTTTAAATAATTTACAGTACCTGGCAGTGTTTTGGTTTTATGTAAGTCAACAATAGAATAAAAATTGCTGTAAAGAACATGTATCAGGTATGAGTAAAAAGGAAAAAAAATTGTAAAGAGATATTTTGCTAATATTATGTATTGATAAATATAAATATTGTTAACCAACAGATGAGGGGCATCAGCCAGTAACACTTATTGGCACTTAGAACAATTAGTTTAAAGACTGTGTAAAGTGTATAAGAAAATAAAATGGATGTGGAAAAGTCTAGTGTCTAGTGTCAATACTTCATGGTGTCTCAAAACCAGTGGCGTACCGTGGGTGTCAGCCGCCCGGGGCGGAGGAAAATTTCGGCTCCCCCTTACATAGGTATTTCAATTTAAAGGACCAAAATTCATTTTTGTCACAGAACAAGCAATGAAAAATTCGGTGGTAGTGCAGCGACCTGTTTAAAATAGTTCTATTGGATATTAGTGGTGTATATGAACGCGAATGAATCGTACAAAAAGAAAAAAAAGGTCAACAGGTTTCGCAGGATTTCCTCGGACCAAAAAGTTACTAATTCACCCAGCAAGCCGATTCCCGGACTGTCTGGACGATAGCACTATCGTAGGCGCGATGCAAGTATAGATAAGGATGTTTCAAATGTTTACAAGACATTATTATTATTTATCGTGAAATTTTGCCGCCCCCTAAAAAGTGCCGCCCGGGGCGGGCCGCCCCTGCCACCCCCACTACGGTACGCCACTGCTCAAAACATAACATACCAGTAAATAAAAATAAAAAAGGCATGGCTTCAACACAGAGAATATAAACAAATGTATTATTTCATTCAGAATATTATCTGTCTTCTGTTCTTTTCCTAGCAATAACCAAATAGGACTGAAATGTAGGAAAAAGTGCTTTTTACTATATTTTTCTCTTTGTTAATTAAATGCCAACTTTTTAGTGAATTAGTTACTCTTATCCTTTTCTGACATATTGGACCAGATGGCTTGATAAGCGCGCGGGGTTATATAGAACCGCCANTTTTTTTATTTATGTTTTAGAATTTTAGTGTAGAGTTTTCTCTCTGATGTTTAAATTTATGTATTAAAATTAAAATTAAAAAAAAAATGTTGTATACACATAAGACTATTAGTTTAATGCTTCATTTTTTAAAGCAAATTAACATTAAATCAAGCATTTTCCAACTAAGAAAAACAATTGATGTTTCCATGTATCAAAGTAATTGTTTTTGTTGAGAAAATTAAATGATTAATATAGTTAAATTTTATATAAATTATATAAGCTTTAATCACAAAGTTATAATCAGTAATAATTTTAAATTAAATTTGTAGAATAAACACTTATGATGATAATTTTATGAATGTTTATATGGTAGGACACTTTAAAATAATTTGATAGTTTACTTTAGATTATTTAGAATACTTTAAGAATACTTTTATATGGAAGGATACTTTCAATGAGGTACAATACATAAAAATGNTTATGAATGTTTATATGGTAGGACACTTTAAAATAATTTGATAGTTTACTTTAGATTATTTAGAATACTTTAAGAATACTTTTATATGGAAGGATACTTTCAATGAGGTACAATACATAAAAATGCAAAATTATTCCACAAAAGTCTGAGAGATATTTTTCATTATAACATATCTTTATTTACATAATTTGAAACTATATGATACATATTTTCATTTACAAAGCTATGAATTCTACTAAAGTAAATAATTTAATTACTTGAAATATGCTTCAAGTAAAAAACCAAATTCCTACTACTTTAAGAATACTTTTATATGGAAGGATACTTTCAATGAGGTACAATACATAAAAATGCAAAATTATTCCACAAAAGTCTGAGAGATATTTTTNGAATTTTTTGAAGTGGAGTCCATCCAGATATGTTGGGGTCCTGTCCCACACCATGTAGCCATTGTAGCCCATTGTAGACCCAGCGATACCAATAATAGGCCTGCTTTAAAGGCCTTTTTAATGCCCACAACAGAATAAAAGACATACAGGAACAAAATATAACAAATATATGAAATTAATTAATTACAGAATTTTTTTCAATATTTAAGATTTATATCTTAAAGAAATAAAACTGAAACAAGAACTGTTACTTTCAACTTTATTCCACTACATGTTTCAAAGGACATATTTTTATTTTTAGTTGGACTGTTTATTTTCCTTTGTTTTCCTTTTTAGCTCATGCTGGGATCTTATTTTATTTTCTTTATTTAGCAAGGATTTACTACTCTGTATTATTAGTACTGAGAAAATTACATTGCTTGAATTATGTTATGAAATGAATCAATTTAAAAATTAATTTAAAATATTTACATAAATTTGTATGCTTTGCAGAGAATTTAAAAATAAAGTCATATAAAACTTTTGCAATTTGTATGATGCACCAATATATAACATATTTTTTCATAAAATATTGACTATTTGAAATAATTATATACATAATCAAGACAGAACTGACTGACTAAGTTGTAATGTAAAACTTAGACATACAGCATTTATGTTACATGTTAGATGATGAATCAAATTATCTGTGCTGCATAGATTATGTAATTTTATTTTATTTACACAGATTTACAATAACAGTATAGTGATAAAAGCATCTTTAAATGTAAGAGAATTGTTAATATATTCTTGCAAAAGATAGACATTGCTTGACATTTTCCTGATTAAAAGTATTGGATTACATTTGTTATTCTTTAATTAGGTAGTAAAATGAAGAAGAGTTGCTTTTGTTAGTTATCTAATCTTAAATTTCACTGTTAATAATCAAAGTTTATTTAAAATGTCTCTTGACATCTTTTGCAACTTTCATGTCAGATTATTAGACATATATTAAGTGAGACAAATTCTCTCTAATAAAACTTATTGGTAGAAAATTATTCTTATAGAAGCAAAATATCTATTTTTTTTTTTATTTGTGTTGATAAACAAATTACATTTTTGCATTGATTACTTAAATCATGATTTAAATCAGTGAATTCCAAAGAAAGTGCTACTGTCACTTTAGGAGTGGTGGAAGTGCCACCCTCAAAGTGGTCATAAGTAGTAATAAGGTAATTGGGTTTTATTTTTTGCACAAATGATCTATCATTGCATTTTCTGTGCCTCCCTATGACAGCACTTGGTGTGGGCATTGGAAGGCAAGGGAGGCTGAGGTATTGGAAGACAAGGGGAACAAAACTTTATTTTGAAGAAAACTAGAAAAATCCAAAAAGCTCGGAAAACTGATTTAAATGAAGCATCATTTCAATTTGAATATTACTTCTCTATCTCATCAAAATTATAGTATTTAATGAAATTTTATACATGGAAAGCATTATTATAAATAATATAATAATCCTTCTGTGCAGTTTCTCTTTTATTTATAATATACTGTAAATAAAATACTTATCAAATGTTTTATATTAACATAAACTGAAGTCTACTAAATAAAAATGTAATAAAATTAGATAATATTTATGTAAATAAAGTAATTATAAACAAATAAATTAATTAAAAATTTTGTTTTATAGAGAGCCTCAATGTGGAATCTGTGATGCAAGTAATCCATCGAAACGACATCCAATTACAAATGCCATTGATGGTACTAATAGATGGTGGCAGAGTCCAACATTACAAAATGGAAAACAGTTTGAATGGGTGACTATTACACTTGATCTCAAACAGGTAAATTTATGTGTGAGCTTTATCAAAATCTTAACTAAAATTATTCAGATGAATGACTTTTTTACTACTTAATTAAAGTAGTAAAAAATTAAAAGAATCATCATGATCCAAGATTTAAGATTCAAACTCAATTATTCCTATTCTTTATGTCAGTGGTTTTAACCTTTTTCTAACAGGGACACTCACAAATTGATCATTTTTTCTTGCAGCATCTTTACACGCTAAAATAGCCTGATAATTTAGTAGATCATTTAGCTTTTCTTTTACATCTTTATCAATGTAGAGTTACTGCATCTTTAGTACTTTTAGTAAAGGTACATTTAGTAGTAAACATGAGAAGTATTATGATGTTGTCAGGGGAGGCCCTAGCAAGGTTTTCAAGTGGTATGAGATATCATTGTGGCACTCCCCTGTAGAGACTAAACTGTACATAGAGACTAAAGATAACATACATTTTTTACATTATTAATAACTCAGACCTCCAAAAGATTAGCATAGTAGTAGTATGAATGAGAAACAATAACAGTAAAAAGAAACAATATTTATAAATGAAAATATAGTGCCGCCAACGAACATTGCTTGCCCAAGATTATTCTTTGAAGTGAAGACACATAAACCTACTTGGCCTTTAAGACCGTTGATTAATAAACGCTCCCATCCTACATATTTCCTCGAGACAGCACTGGCAAAACATATCTCTGCTTTAGTACCACCCTCCAACTTAGTAACCAATGCCGTTTTAAATGCTAAAGCTAACATTGTAACTACACTAAGTAACCTTCCCACTAACTCGTACCGGTTATACAAAATAGACGTTATTTCATTATATCCATCGGTACCACATTTTGAAGCTGTCATGCTGGCTAATGCACTTCTACTGAGTTCTGGACACCCCATATCAAATGTATTACATTTGCGTGAAGCTCTTTTATTTATCACAGAAAACAACTATTTTCAATTCAATGGCAAAATATACAAACAAACCCAGGGTGTACCAATGGGCTCCCCCTTGTCACCTATTTTAGCAGAACTTGTCATGAGGAATATAGAGAATCGTATTTTCCATGCACCTTTAACAATCCACTATCCCATCATGTATCTACGATATGTCGATGACATCTTGCTTGCATGGGATGGTTCTGCAGAGGATTTAGACAAATTTATTCAAATGCTAGCTTCAATATATCCTTCTATAAATTTCACTGTAGAAGAGGAGCAAGAAAACACAATTTCCTTTTTAGATTTAGAAGTGCATAGATATCCGGAGCTAACTTTTGCGGTGCACCACAAAAACAACAGAGGGCCAGATATTATCCCTGTAACTGCTTTCCAACCCCCGAGCTTTGTTAACTCTGCTATTACTTCACTTATTCAGANAGATATTTATTTATTTATTTATTTTTTATATAAATAAACGAATTTTAAGAGTTTTGATCTCTAGTTTAGGTGTTGCAAACTATCTTAAAAAAAAGAAGAAAAAAATTATCTTTTTTGACGGTTAAAATCCAATTTTTATAATTTAAAACTAAATTTAATTTTTGTAGAAATTAAATAATCAAATTTGCTAACAATTATTCGAATTTCAATAGTTTTAATAGTTTTAATAGTAAATTACCCCAAAAGAGGAGAGGAAGAAATATTTTAACTCTTTTCCTCTTGTGGGCACTTAGAATGCCTTTTTTTCCATATTCCATTGTGAATTCGGCCAGGCCCACAATGGGAGGCGATCGGATTGTAAAGGATGGGGCCTGACATATCTAGTATAGATTTTCCATGAAAAATTTCTGAAGTTCTTCGCCCGGATTCGATCCCTGATTCCCGGAGCGCCAGGCTGATACCCTTTTTAATATTTAATATCCACGTTTTTATAGATTAAATTCGAATTTTAGATTTCGATTTTTTTTCTGTTAAATCATTTTTTTTTGTTTTTTAAATATTCATATTTTTTATCATTTTGATCTCAAATTTGCATATCAAAGTTTGGTAGAAAGGAAGGAACTACATAATTCAAGTTTTTGATATTTTTTATTACTAAATATCCAATTTCATTTTGCTATTAAAACCTAAATTTGGAATATTTTAATTTTATATTTAATTATTTTATAATTTAATACAGTATTTTAAATTTTAAGAATTTTGATCTTCAGTTTGGGTATAGCAAAATAAATTGAATAAAAATAGATTTTTTTTTTTGGTATTTAATATTCAAATTTTTCTGATTTTAATATAAAATTTTAGATATTATGCTGATAAATATAGAATTTTTTCGTATCTGCCATATTTTTCCGCGGGTTATCTGTGTTTAAATGACAATTTGAAGGGGTGCGGATTATATGCCGACTTTAAATTGCAATTAAAAAGCGCTTATGGAGCAATGGCTGCTCCCATAGGAGCGGGTTATTAGCAGGTTTTTCTTTTCCTTCAAGCAATTCCCTGGATATAAAATTTTTATTGAAGTGGAAAAATAATGTGATTTTTTAAATATAATTTTTAAATTAAATATTCAAAGTTTTTCTTGCAATTAAGCATTTAAATTTTGAAGAATTTTAACATTATTAAACATGTAAATTTGTAGACTGTTGCTCTATAATTTAGACATGGTATAAATTTTTTTAGTAGAAGATAAGCGAGAAAATAAAAATAAAAAATAATTTTATAATTTTTTAATATTTCTAGAATTAAATACCCGTAGTTTACTATTAAAATCCGAATTTAAATAAGTTTTAATATTTAATTCCAAAAGTTTTTTTTTTTTAAATCTGAACTTTAGATATGAAGTTTTAGTGAAAAAGAGGAAAAATAGATAAAATTTTAAAATATTTTATTATTATTAAACATTTAAATTGTTTTTTTTACTACTAAACTTCAAAATTTTGAAGAATTTAAAATTAAAATTTATTTATTTTAATATTAAATACGCAAATTTTCGGAATTTTCATCTCAAGTTCAGATATGAAATTTTCTTATATATGTGGAGAATGAAGGAAGAGGGGGAAGTGGAATGAAGAAGTGGAGAATGAAGGAAGAGGGGGAAAAAGACAGAATACAATTTTTTTTGATTTTTTGGATTAAATATCTAAAATTTTCTTGCTGTTTCCTGCTGCAAAACCTTAAATTTATTTATTTAAATAATTTTGTTCGCGAGTTGGATATCAAATCTTCTCGGAGGAAGGAAGAAAAATGATCCTTTTAGTATTTCTTGAATTAAACATCCAAGTTTTCTTGCTACTAAGCATTAGATATCCAAGTTTATCTTGTCACTAATCACTTAAATTTGAACAATTTTAACATTATATTTAGTTATTTTATTAATTTAATACACAAATTTGAAGAATTTAGATCTTGACTTTAGATATCAAACTATCATTATAAGAAGGGTAGAATAAATAAAAACGATTCTCAGCAGGTGTGACAGTCGACAAAAACCGTGAACGATCTTCGCGATATTGGTAGACAGACAAGCCATTGATAATGTAACAAAACTTTCATTCATACATCTGCCTAAAGTTTGTCCGACGGCGAAGTTTAAAGTCCAACATCTGTCTTTCTACATAATTAGTCACTTCATCTAAACTTATCCGGTTCCGCTTTTGTACCTCTTCAAAGAATAGTTATTAATCAAGTTTGTTAAGAACAACTCGGTACTTAACGCTTAAAAAAACTCTTGAGAATAAAAGGAATTTCAAATTTTCCGGTCGGCATTTTTCTTTAATGTTATACTAACTTAATGCCAAAACAAAAATGATAATGATTTTTGTATTGTAATTTCTGTTTTTTTTTATTTTTTAATTTAAATGTTTGTTTTTGTTTCTAATAACAATTTATTCGAGCTTTTTACTCACTATTTAAGCGTGAATACTTCGATTTTTTTGTGTAAATTCTTTTGTAAACTGTAAATGCTAGATGCATATTGCATTTTCTTGAACTTTAATATGTAAAATACGTGTTGAAGAGCAGCTTTTTTCGTTTCTATTATCATTTACGTGCGATCCTTGCGCTCTAACGTGCACTTTACGTGCGATCCTTGCGCTTTAATGTAAACTTTACGTGAACCTTTAAGGTTCGACGTGTAGGCTACATATTAAAGTGCGTTTTTAGGCATTGGATTAAAAAAGGTATTAAATTATTCTTAAAAATCTACTTAAGATCTATCTTCAAGATAAAATTCTGGCATTTTATCTTAACCAGATCTTTATTTTGTTACTATAATTTCTATTTACAAGCCCCTTTTTTTTATTTACCTTTATGGCCATTAATATGCATGTATCTACGTTATTTTATATCGTTTTAATTTAAATTTCATAACCTTTAACTCTTCGAAATAAAAGTAAAGTAATTCAGTTAAATAACCAAAGAGATAAAATCGTAAAATTTCCATAACGTTAATACTTTCTTTCAAAAATACATTCACATACACGCATGTATAAACATAAAAATTTAAATTTTGTGGTTACTTGGTTGATTTTTTTTGTCACGAAAGCCATAAAGTGATTTATGTCATTGATCAGGGCCTCTAACATGCCATGGGCTGGGTCAATCAGAAATATGGGGACTCACCCTTCTCTTAAAGCCAAAAAAATTTATATATATAAAAAAAAAACCGCAAGATTTTATTTATAAGTTTAACCTGCTTTAAATGGCCTTACTTGCATCTTTTCTATCTAAAAGTGTAACTAACAAATACTTTCAATATCATTTTCTTAATTGACTTTTATATAAACAACACAAGAGAAAGTGAGATTAACAGATAAAGGAAAAAAAGAAACCTCATAAAGAAAAGATTGATTTAAAATTTCCTTATCTTCTCCCATTTATTATTTATTAATGAAGATAAGTTAGAGAGAAATTAATTCATTTGATTCTAAAACAAGTTTAAATAGCAGAACAACCTGATATTTTGCAATGTCAGCAAGTTATAGGGTCATAAATTGGCACCCAATGGAATGCCAATTGTGATTGAATGGCATCGTGTTACTTTTTCCCACTTGAAGTTGCGTATT